TTTCACATGTAACTATTTAAGATTTAATTCTCTGCCTTTTGTCAAAATTTGAGTAATTTCTGTTGAAAGTAATAATTTTGGCTATTTCCGATTTCTCAAAAAGTACTAATAATATTCCACACTATTATACACAGATTTTTTTGCGTTCACTAGGTGCACAATTTTTTTTTTACGACATTCTATTCTATATTAAAAAGTTTAAGTAATTAAAATTGGATTAAAAATCATGTCTATATCCCAAGGTGCCATCCCTAATAGTGTTATATAAGAATATTCGAGAAAGTTCAGGGGAGATCACTCCCGGTTTATTTAAATTATATTATAAAAAGGCCTTTGTAAAAAAAAAATTGATGGGGGGGCTTCACCAGAAAAAGATCGGGCACCTGAGGATCCAATTCTTTTGTTTGGGCAGGGAATGTGGTAGTATTTTATATAAAAAAGCCAAAAAATTATTAAATTACCAAGTCAGTCTCTTGCAATGTGCGCGTTTATTTGCTTGCTCAGTATAAGTCATTTTTTCAGGAGCTTCACCATATATGTCCATGTCATAATTAGATTGAAGATGATAAGATGAGCCAGTACCAGGTGCTTCAGTTAGATCCCCTAAACAAAAATTAAATATTTTAATTTGAATGAATTCTTAATCTAGAGTTCAAATTAATAAATAACAGAGTTAAAACCTAATTGATTTTGTTTTTAATAAAAAGTATCAAATATTCCTGAAAGTACATTAAAATATTTCATAAATGAAAAAGTGTTTCAGTTAAGTGGAAGTGGTAGATAACCAACTTTAAATAAATTGGATGATAAAGTAGTAACATTTTAAAATATTAGAATAATAGAAAATAATTAAAGAAAAAAGCCATAGACTTAAACTGGTGACCAGAAAGAAGCACAATGGAAAAAAGTGCAAACAGAGAAAAGCGCTTACAGAAATTTGCGCACACAGAAAAATATGCAAATAAGAAAATTATGTTCGCAAAAAATGACACACAGATTTTTCAGATATATATATATATATATATATATATATATATATATATATATATATATATATATATATATATATATATATATATATATATATATATATATATATATATATATATATATATATATATATACACACAAACATATATATATACATATTTATATATACATATTCATATACATATATATATATATATATATACATATATATATATATATACATATATATATATATATACATATTCATATACATATATATATACATATTCATATTCATATTCATATACATATACATATATATATATATATATACATATATATATATATATATATATATATATATATATATATATATATATATATATATATATATATATATATATATATATATATATATATATATATATATATATATATATATATATATATATACTGTACTTAGGTCAAAATCACTAGTCTTGCAGATGGGTGACTGTAGCAGAACGAACAACTTTTTTTTCCCCCCAAAAAATTGTATCACAGACTGCGGTCTCTAGTACACTGAGGTCACACATTAGTGACGTTCCCTGCAAGTTATTACATGAGCTAACCGTCCATCCTGCTTATTTTTTGACATGTTCAAAAGGCAGGTAATGATATTTTTGCATGCAATTGCACATCTCTCTTTTAGTTAACCAAAAAACTGTTATTCTAATGACAATAGAATTTGCATGATATTTAGATGTATGGATGGACGGGCAGATGGACAGACAGGTAGCCATGGTGTGTGGATGAGTCATTTGGTCCGTTGGTAGGTTTTGGTGTAGCTGTAAATGTAGGTATATATGTAAGTGTAGGTGCATGTGTAGGCTTGGTTATGCAAATCACCATAGGTCAAATAACCTGTGACCTACACCAGCTGTGAACAAACTGCCTGTGGACAACCCTTGGCTGTGGTCAAAAAACATGTGGGCTTATCACCTTTGGTCAAAAAGCATTATTTAAAAAAATATACAGACGTTGAAATAAAATATTTCTGTCTAGGCATGTGTAAACTCAAACATGCATTGCCATAATCTTCGTTGGTGGGCGATCTGTGCGTAGTTTTCTGTGTGCGCAAATTTTTATTTGGGTGTTTTCTGTGTGCACACATTCCTCTTTGCTCATTTTTCTGTGTACCCACTTTTCTTTGTGCATATTTTTCTGTTTGCACTTTTTTACTCTTTGAGCATTTTTCTGTGTGTGCAAATTTCTGTTTGCACTTTTTTCTATGTTTCCGCATTTTTCTGTGTATGCATATTTCTGGTTTTAGCACTTTTTCCTGTTGCGCTTTTTTCCATTGCACATCTTTCTGGGATCCACTTAAACTTAATTCTCTAACATGATTTTAAGAATTTAAAAATATTTTTTTAATACATACAAAACTTTGAAATTTCAACATAAAATGCACCATTCCAATCACTGTAACTTAACATGAGACATGGCTGTACTTATGAAAAAAAGTATTTTCATATACATTACCATACATTCCTGGTGTCTCAGTACCATCAAAGTAATAATCATCAGGTGTAAAGCCAGCTTCCAGCAAGGCAGTTCTACAGGCACTTCTAACTACTTCTTTGACCAATTCTCTAAAATCTTGCAGTCTTCCAGCTACCTGAAAAAATATAATTGTGTGCTGACTAAGAATGAAAAAAAAAGTAAAAAAATTATAAGAACTGTATATATCAAAACTTGAAAGGGAGGGGAAAAAACTTCCTTAACAGGTTTTCTTTTATAATTTGTGTTAAAATTAAGCATTTAAGTTAAACTATTTTCAGGGAATTTTAGTTACCTTCGATTAAATTGGGGTAAAGTGTAACTTAAAGAGTTTAAAAAGTGAATCTAAGTGAGAGAAACATTGAGCATTAACAGCGTAAAACTAATCTGCCTATCTCCTCCACCAGTATCATCCATAAGCTAAACTCTATAGTACTCTAAATACCAAACTTTAATTAATAAAAGAAAATTAATTTTGCAGCTAATTATGTCAAAGTTTGAAATAAATTTGTTAGCTGGTAGTAAATAAAATTTTGTTTGCGAGTGTTACAGCATATAACAGACAACACAACAAATGGACAATGAATCAATAAAGGAAGATAATTTACATCATTTAGTTGATTAAACTGGGCTTCTCTGAACTCTGTCAAAGTGTAAGTGTGGTCTTTATCAATGTGGCATAATCCCATTTCACTAATTCTGTGACACATTTCTCTGACATTCAACAGAGCTGGCCTCAAGGACTGTAAAATGAACAAAAAGTCGCTAAATTTGCATAATGGCTTATTTTAATAACAAGTTAAAGAGGGTTTTTTTTTTATTCTTAACTTATGAGAAATATTTATAAACATTTAACATAGTTTTCAAGTAGAATCATAACACTTACAGGATTTACAATAAAGAGATTTTCATCAAGGTTTTTTTTGTAGCTTTTAATTTTTGATGACCTGACATTTTTGCGCCATACACTAAAAGCCTTCCACTTGCGGAAAAGAGCAAAGGTCTTGATCTATTTAAATATACAACATGATTATTGACTGTCAAATTCTGGTTTTTTCAATATTAAATTTTGGCTTTAAACAATAAATACTTTAATATTTTGGTTTACCTTTATTAGTTTTTCAAAATAGAAAACTTCTTGCTCCCAATGATCAAGCAGAATAAATTCAGTTTCATCATCTTTTCTCATTCTTGTTACCCCCTTTTGGCTAATGGTAAGATAGTCTGGTTTGTTGATTTGCTCATGACTTACAACCCTGAATAAACCAGAATATATTATTATTAAAAACACATAGATTTTATTTGATAAATGAATGTGGCTTTTTACTTTTTCATATACAGATTATAGAGAAAGTATTGTACTCATGCACAAAAAATTGCATGAAATTTTGAGTTTTCACCATTTTAAACCTCAGTACTTCATCATATATGGAGTATAGGGGACTTATTTTAATCTGGCAAAAACTCTAAATCCAGATTTATCAAAATTTCAGTGTTTTACATGTAATTGAGTAGAAAAAACTGGGCTTAGCAATTCTGTCTGTGTGTGTTTGTGTGTCTGTGAACATGATAACTTGAGTTGATAGCTAGGTTGATGAAATTTCATAATTAAGTATTTTATTAAATTTGTATTTCTGTATCGACTTTTCAGCGAATTCCTGTAACTGGAAACTTATTCTACTTTTAGTTTTTCAAAAGCCAAGAACTGATAAATAAACAAAATTTCCTATACAATTAAAAGATCTAATTCTCTTCCTTCTGTCAAATTTTGAGTCAAATTTTTCAGGGGCTTTGTCTTCCCCCCCCCCCCCCTCCAAAGAGAGCCTGGAAGAAACACTGCTGTCATTTCCTGATGTTCTGCTATAGTAGACATTGGTAAAAGTGAATAGGGTATAGACCTAATGAAGGACTTTAAGTCATCACATGTCATCATACCCCACCATATGAAACTGTCACATTAGTCACACTATTCACATCAGTCATGTTATTAGCATTGTCATCACCAGTGAGATATGGTCATCATTATCATCATTAAAATAAATGTGCCTCACTGGCATTACTCAACAAAGAGTTGTTTTTACTTAGGGTCAGCTAGTGAACACACGTAACCTTGATGGGTGACCGCCACCAATATCCCTACAGAGGAAGTGTTACAATTCAAGTAAGACTTACTGATAAAATATCAACAAAGGTTTTTAAAACAAATGTAAGCGAATTCTCGAAATGGTTTATTGTGACCATAAAGCAATAAAAAGCTTACTCACTTTAGGTTATAGTAGTGGTAATTCACAGAAGATTTTGGCACAGCAGGACTTAGGTAAAGGAATCCAACGTTAGGCTCTTCTCGAATAATGGAGATAATATGATGCATGTCTCGTGTGCCATAATAGGATGTTGGTACTTAGAACATTACAGATAAACACTGATCATTATTTAGAAATAAATAAATAATATAATAAATAAATAAATAAAAGGCTAATAATAATAAATAAATAAATAAATCACTGTGTTAATTTTATATTGAAAGTAGCTAATAAAATGTGATAAGTCATACATTTCATACGAGTTGTAGCAGGAGCACTTGGATCAGATGTGTAGACTTTGCCTTTATGGTAATTGTTTATTGTATCTCTAGGTGTCATAGGTCTTGGAGCCATATCATCCTATAAAATTAAATAAATCAAAAATCTTTTATTGATTATTTAAAAAATGATAGGATATTGTCTAGTCTCTTTAAACATGGCAGTAACATTTTTTTTAATTTACCTGTTTTTCTTTCAACTCTAGGGGTAATGCAGGTGCATTAGGTATTACTTCAAGGGGCTCTACAGATCCAGCTCGTTTCATTCTTTTTATATCATTGTGATTTACAGTTTCTAAAGAGCGCTTCAGCTCAAGTGTTTCTAAATTCTTTTTGTGAATGTATTCAGGTTTGTTTACCATTTGATATTTCTGTAATGCAGGCTGTGAATGAAATTTTAAAAATATTTATTACGTAGACTGCCATTAGCATTTTTAAAATGTATTATATTTTATTTCAGTTACACAAAATATAGGCCCAATTTAGCATAAAGAATTCAAACTTACCAGTGGTGTTACGGGAGAAAAAACTGGTGACTGTAATCTTTTAGCCTGAGCTCTTGTAACACCTTTAAATACAAGTGTGTTTTTCTGTGCCTGGGTACTGACAGGAGCAACAGAATGAAGCTTTGCTCTGAACTGTTCACCTTTAGAAGGGCTGTCATGTGTAAATAAACCCTGACCATTTTCAATATTCATTCTTTCGAGTTGGCTGATGTTTGAAGACATTTTATGGTAGAGTGCTGCTAATAATTATAGAATAAACAAGACGTATATCTTCCAAATAGTCTTAGATTTTAAGATATATTTATTTACAACACGATTTACCTGTCCAAGCTGGAGTGTTTAATGTGTACTTGATGAAATTTGCTATTTTCTTAAAATGCTAGTTTTAGCCATAAGAATAAAAAATTAATCAAATTCAATACATAGGCCTACATCCAATTAGTATATACGTTCCATACACTCCAATGAAAGAATTAGCCTCTATTTTATCAATATCAATGCTTGTTATGATGCATATTCTGAGAGAATAGATAGGTGCGAGTGAATATTGGTGAATTGTATGTTGAATGAATGAAGATGTGACACGTATAGTGAGATAGTGAATATAAGGTAGTGAGAACGTTGTTGCTATAGCAAGTAAGATAGGATTTAGGGGACTAGGTATTAAATAAAAGAATTCAGGTTATGCTGCTGATGTGGACTAGTCCACTCAAAGACTAGACTGCTGATGTTAGTAATGTTTGTATAAAGACTAGAATAGGAAGAATTAACATCTTGTCAAATATATTGAGATGTCTGTGACCAAGTGTTAACTTATAAGGAGTGAATAATGGTAGTAGAATGCCCACAGTGGGTGATAATGGTATGAAAAGGTGAGGCCTCTCACAGCAAACTCTAACAATGCTGATATGAACACCTTGTGGTAACTTCGTGTAAATCTGAGCCAGCAATCTCTTAATTATACAGTGAAAAAATATATCTCAATACAGCTGGTTGGTACCAGTTGGTACATTCTGGACAACAATTTTAGAGCTAAAAATGTCAACATTATAGTTTTTAAAAAATTAATCTTGTATGTAAATTGATCATAAACTGGTGGTATTTTAGCATTGCCTATGCAAAGTCATGAAAACTATGTGCATATGAATACTTAATATTACTAAAGTTATCTATAACTGCAAATTTTGTATGTATGAAAATTTTTGTGGGGTGGAGTGTTATATATTCATATATAGGTTTATCATACTTTAGTAAAGAATCCTTTGAACCTTACTGCCAAATTGTGCAGGTGAGGTAGAGTTCACCTGTTTCAGTGACCCTGCTCATGAAAAGATTTAATACACTCAGCACAATGCCCAGCTGGGTAAACAGAGGGTAAATGGTCGGAAAATAGTTCTATATGTTAGTTTATTATATTTTTTCGATGTAATAATATCTTTGTCAAGTCTTTAAAAAATATACAACATTTTGTTTGCTCTAATAATTATTTTAAAATGCTTAAGTTATTTCAAATCAAGCATCTACTATTTTAATTTTTAAATAATATAATATTAAATAAAAACTGATCTAGAATCTACTAGCTAGAATCTAGCTGCTAGATTAACTAATTAACTAGCTACATTATACCCAATTAAGTATAGGCCCTATATATTATTATATAGATCTATATACTAAATAAATAGTATAGTATATAGGGTTATCTATTGTTTTAGGTACGTAAAATCGCCCGCGGTTAGTAATATACGAAAAAGTTACCTCATTGTCAAGGCTTTAATTGTGATATATTTGTGTCAAATATTATAGGTAAATGAATAATAAATGTAAATCAATAGGCCTATATCAATATATGAAAGAAATTAACTTTAAACAGCAGTGTTTGCGAGCAGGATTTGCTATATAAAAAGCGGCCATCTGTAAGTTAGAGTGGCTTCCCCTGAATCTTGTGCTATAAGTTTACTATAAAAAAAAATAAACATGATGGCTGCTATAGTAAATGAGCATGGTTGCATCTGTTGGAAACATCGCTAGTCTTCATTTATTACTGAAAAGTTTTAATTCAGTTGTTTAAAAACAGGTACATAAATGAAACAAGTAACAAGGAAACATTTTTGTATTTTTCAAAACATAAATCCTCCTCAAAATGTGAAATAGTTATTAAAATTTAAGGAGTCACCTGTTTTTCACATTACTAGTCGCGGGCGATTTTACGTACCTAAAACGATAGATTACCGTATATAGTATTATAGTATTATGGGGTCATCCATAAATGACGTCACGCTTTTTTTGACGATTTTTACCTCCCCCCCTCCCCTCCGTCACACGTCGTCACAAAAAGCCAGACCCCCCCCCCTAAAATGACGTCACACTTCAACCTACAACCCCCCTCAAAATTGCAGTTGAATTTTTTAAAAACATCGATATTTTTCCAAAATCTTGTCTAAACTATTACAATTTATTAAAACAGTTATCTAAAACGCGAAATAACGTCTAAAATTCGTTTTCTAACATATTGCTTTTTTATAATGCAAAAATGTGACGTCACAACATCTGACCCCCCCCCCCTCCCCCTCATCACACATCGTCACAAAATTACGGACCCCCCCTCCCCCCTACGAGTGTGACGTCATTTATGGATGACCCCTATATAGAATAGATCTATCTTATTAATAATAATTAATATATTATGATTATTATATATATCTACTATGTCAGTCATTGGGGCTAAGTTATTTAATATTTGTAAGCATTTGAAATAGCAAGCTACAATACAACATGAGTAAAACTTATTTTACCTATCGATTTATTTAGCTTATTGAATATTTTCTAATATTTTAAAAGATGCAATTATAAAAGCTGCTTACTTAATAAACATTGTTGTCAGCCCGCCATGTTGTGACAATGTAACCTGGCAACAAAACCGGAAGTTAGGTAACGGAGAGTTTAAATACCATACCTGAGCAAGAAAATGAGCTGTTTATTTCTATTTCGAAAGATAACCCCCCCCCCTATTTCTAACACGATAATCCAACTCCTCTGGAAAAATATCATAACATTATTCTGAACCCTTCTGCTTAGATATGACGTCCGTTTCAGACCATTTTATGTATTACTATTTTTTAGCGGGGTAGTGGTTTAACTCTTCAAACGCACCCCCCCCCCACCCAATAAAGTCACACACCAGCCTTCCACTACTCTACATATTGCAAGGTTTTGTTTTTTAAAAGAGGAATTTCTTTTTTTTTAAATATAAAGAACTACTGAGCATTGACAACACTGAATATATAGACCAATTTTAATTACAATTTGTAAAATCTTTCTTTTAGAGACGATAATTAATGGCTTCTACACTTTCTGAACCTCCTCCCCCGCGCTTTAAAATCGACGCAAAAATCTGCCCACCTCCCCCTAGAAAAGCAATGTTGAAATGGTAAAAATATTACCAAAAACGAAATTGAATTTATATAGAAAATATATGCTTTTACCAGTGTCCGCACCTGGGAAATTTAGTTCGCCCCCTCCCTCCCCGAAAATCTCAAGTGCCCCCTCACGCAGATAAAAAAATCTTAAAGAAACATGGGGGCTCTGGACGTGAGGTTTATTTAGTAAAAGTCGTCTAAACTGGTATGACGTGATTTAATATTTAATTGAAGAAAACGTAAATCTAGGTATAATGTTTATTAGTCACATAGATTTCTAGTACATATGCTTATAATTTAGTCTGCAGATCTAGATATAGAGAATCTAGATTCTAGATCTATTTAATTTATGTCACACGTTTCAAACAATTCAACACTTTAGTTGTGAAAATAAGGAAATAATTCTCTTAAAAACTACTCTACTGATATGCTTGATCACTTGATCGTATTTTTAAACATAGTCTACATGTGGAAAAGCTGTTTCAAATTGTTCGTTGAGTTATGGTGATTAAACAACCTAATCCAAGTTTGAACTTACTGTAGTAACAAAACAAGCTAAAGTAGCCCGACTTTTAAGAACATAATGATTTAGTCTATTTCTACACATAACTAGATCTAGATCTACATACTAATACATAGTTTTACATACATAGTAGTACATAGTGGATCTAGAGACCTAATCTAACTGTATCGCATAGCCTAATTTGTAAAATATTTTGATTGGATCTAAAAATCTACAAAATGAACCCTGTAAGTACTAATTTTAAATGGTAATCTATCGTTTTAGGTACGTAAAATCGCCCGCGATTAGGCTGCTGTTTATATAGGAAATCCGGTAATCTATCGTTTTAGCGTAATCAATTCGGCCGCAGTAGTAATGTGCGGGAGAGGTAACTGATGAAAATATTTGTTTAAATAAGTTTATTGAAGTCAAATTTTACAAAATTAAACAGATAATTGATTTAAAATAACATCAGTGACCAAAAAAAATTTAAAATACCATGAAACTAACTTTAAACAAGGTGTTTGAGATAAATGTTAGTAGATAAAAACAGCGGCCATCTTTCCAAATAAAATTTAGAGTAGTTTCCCTTGATAAAAATGTCTATTCGTACGTATATTGTGTTGACTTTGTTGTTTAATATGCATAGCTGTCTTGTTTAATGTCAGTAGTACAGAGGGCCGTCTTCTTATCTTTAATTTCAATTGAAATGAAGGCTATGTATGTATGTATGTATGTACATCCAAGATCTCAAAAACTTTTGGGAGGTCCATCATTTATTAAACCCTTTTGACTTTTGTACTGATGAACTTGTCAATTATTAGGTCGTCCATATTCTTCAAAAATGACGTTGGACTCAAAATATGGGACGGGTAAAATATTTTTTTTAAAATGATGAACAATATATTCGTTTTCGTTAGAAATTGTGATTACACGTTCGGGTATAGTAGAACTGCGATATGATATTAAATCATCATCTCGCTTTTAGTGACGATTTGGGGAAAGGGAATTCGTAGGGAAAAGTATGATGTCATTTATGGACAGGGCCGGCGCTACCTATAAGGCGAACTAGGCTGTCGCCTAGGGCGCTGTTCATAGGGGGGGGGGGGGGTGCCAAAATGGGTTGGAAAAACAAATTGAAAGTTTGAGGGTGGGGGGGGGGTTGCAAATCGTAAGCTTGTCCCCGGGCGCTGGAAGGGTCGCTACGCCTCTGATAATACGGGGGCATGAAAAAAATTGCGGGGGGGGGGGGGGGGGCGCTTTTAATAAGTTTTGCCTAGGGCGCTAAATAATCTGGTGCCGGCACTGTTTATGGGTGATCCATTTAAGCCTAGTTGTTTATTTTGTCTGTAGACATTAGTCTTATGCCTACACTTTTTCTGAATTAAGATTATTGTGTTTATAAAAATAGTTTTAAATTTTAATTAGTTACATTTGAATACCACATGGTTTTTTATTTGTTCAATAGTCGTTGTTTACCCCTCCCCACCATCCATTATTACAAAAACAAAAAACACCCAATATATGGTGATATCTCCCTCTAGAAAAAAAAACTGGATCAACCTATAGTTCGTAGGAGAATTAGAATCTACCACTTATTCGTCTGTTAAAAAAAGAAACACATTCTTCTCAACCCCGCCGTTTCATCCCCCACTTAGCACAACGTCACCAAGTTCTCGGCGCGCGTGACGTCATTAGTCATTAGGCTAATGTTAAAGAAAGAGATACCGCGTAATTAAAAAAAAATCAAAACAGGCACTATGGAGTTGAGACTTTAGCGACTTTTAGCCTGACGAATAGATCTAAATGACTTTAGTTCGGTAAATTATATTGGTGTTTAATTTATTACAGTGGCATGCGGTGCTCCCTCTACTATACAAATTCACGTGCTTTTAATTTCTGCAACCTGCTGTCCTGAGACGTTCGGCTGTAAAATGCCTGTGACACAGCGGCTTCCGTATATACATTTAGGCTCCCAGTCCCACCTATACCCTTCGTCTGCCCATTAAGCTCCACGCAAAACTTGAGATTGATATGTGGACATAAGCGGCGATAGTGGTGGTGTCAAAAGGGACCCCCCCCCTCCCTAAGCTCAGATCTTAAAGGTGCTCCGCACTTCATAAAAGACAAACTTGATATTCAGACATCGTCGGACTCGGGCGTTTAGCCGACTGCCGTATTCCTAATGCACCGTCCACTGCTAACACTATTTCTATATTAAACTCAAGCCTATACTGAGCTCTGGCTTTTTACATTAGCTGCTGTCGAATTAATGGTTGATCTTTTGTTATGCCCCATGTCGCGAAACTTGCTGTTTTGTCCAATTTTACCTGCAAGCCAATAATTGTCTAGGATTCTTGTCGAATATCGTTGCCAGGAGCTAGTTGGTTTGAGCCTTATTGTCAGAAGTTATTACATTTGGAGTCAATATAGTGCGGCCTATTTTCGTCGGTAGGCATTTAGTGGCAGGCTCTTTTTGGCGGGGATGATGTGCTGAGGTTGTTTAACTTTAACACCGCTTAGGACAACAGGCTTGCAATAGTTATGATCATTCGTTATGAGCAAAAGCATGCATGAAAACGAACGCTTTATGTTCCTCATTTTCATTGAGCACAGCTTTATAGAAGTCTTCCATAATTGACGTCACTCATCCCCCCCCCCCCCCCCCCCCGATCACCCCTTCATTATAGGTCATAAATTGCAGTCCTGCGTAACTTGACGTCACATTAGAATAGCATATGTGACATCGTTTATGGACAACCCCATATAACTCATTTTGGGTATTTGGTATCAACAGTTTGACAACAAAGGTTGTTCAAAATGTGTATTGAAGGTTAGGACTTGACATTTATCATAAATGACATCACGCACTTAAGGGGTGGAGTAACTGATTTTGAGACGACGTTTTACGCGGGAAAGGGAAGTGGTAAGAAACGTGAAACGTTAAGTATTTCGCCTATACAAAAATGCTGAAAAAAATTCTTTTTCGTTTGAATTATGGCTTGACTTTTTAACAGGCAGGGCAAAAAGGTAATTTATGCCATTACGACTATTTCGTGACGGCGAAAATGGGGGGAGTGGGGGGGGGGTTTAGGTGAAGATATGTAAAAAAAAACGTGACTGACGTCATTTATGATTTAATAACTAATTAAAGGAAAAAAGCATGAAAATATGAAATGAAATTGGCAAACAAACAATGACACAAGCAATAATAATTAACTCAAACTAATATTTAAATAAACATTAGATATGTAGTGGTAGCTCTATAAAAATAGGGAGTTTCTTATGCATAAAAATTGCATATCATAATAATAATTGTAGAACTGATGTTTATTGTCAGGCAATTAAATTGTTTAAAGGGCAGAATTTAAAAAAAAAACGCATGCTTTGTATTTAAACACAAGACAAACGTATTTAATAGCAAACATAAATACATTTCCATACAAATAGAAATGAAAGGGAAATGACTCAAAATAATATTTTCTTAAGATGGCCGCTGTTTTTAATAGCAAATTTAGTATCTGGAACATCGTTGTTAAACCTTAATTTCATGACATTTTTATTGATTTAACCCTTAAATGTGGTTTAATATTCAATTATCTTTAGTATTTTAGTAGAATATGCAAAAATATATTCATATTTAAGCCATATTTATTAGTTACCTTATCCCTACATTACTAGTGACGACCGAATTGATTACGCTAAAACGATAGATTACCGGAAATCCTGCTCACAAACACTGCTGTTAAAAGTTAATTTCTTGCCTATATAGTATATTGATATATTTAGCTATTGATTTAGGTTTATTATTCATTTCTATAATATTTGACACAAATATATCAAAATATACTTTTATTAAAGCCTTGACAATGAGGTAACTTTTTCGTACATTACTAGCCGCGGGCGATTTTACGTACCCAAAACGATAGATTACCTTTTAAATTTACGTAATCCATCGTTTTAAGTTGAAGGTAGCCTACGTAAAATAAAAAAATCGCCCGCGGCTAGAACTATCTAGTGTATCTAGTATTTAGTAAAAATAGTACGAAAAAGTTACCTCTTTGTTAAGGCTTTACTTTAATAGAAGCATATTGTGGTATATTTGTGTCAAATATTGGTAAATCCTTAGTTTAGCGTCATAAATTAAAAATTTGGCCAAAACTAGTAATGTGGGAGAGAGTTAGGCCTAATTAATTAATGAATAGGGCCTATGTCATTAAATATGAGTATATTTTCGTATATTTTGATAAAATATTAGGCCTACAGATAATTGAGTAATAGATCACCATTTATGGTTAAATCAATTTAAATATCCTGAAATTAATTTGTATCAACCCTGTTTGAGATAGTAAATTTGCTATTAAAAACAGCAGCCATCTTAAGAAAATGTTATTTAGAGTAGCTTCCCTTTCATTTCTATTCATATGAAAATGTATTTAAATATGATTGTCTTGTTGTATAGTCCGTCCTACAAACTAAAGCATTTTTTTTTTTTAATTTAATCTTACTATTACTATACTATATAGTTTGAGTTTTTCTTATTATTTGAATGTTCACTATTTTCATTTCAGGTTTTTCTTTTCATCAATTAGTGATTCTATCGTACCTTATGACATTTTTTACTTCTCTTTACCTTCATTAAACCCCAACCTCTGTCATATTTTTGTTGTCAATGTCACAAGTCATAATGTAAAAAATTATGCTTCACTCTGCCTTATCTAAGATCTCTAACCATAATTTTGACAACAATAAATGTTTGCTGACATTTATATATACAAAGAGACAAAATGTATTATCCACCAGCTTCACTCGTAAAACATCATCTAAAATAATCAGCCACTCCACCCCTTAAGTGCGTGTCATCATTATGGTCGATCCCAAGTCTCCATCTGTCAGACACATTTTGGTTATCCTTTCTTGTCAAAATGTCAATATCAAATGCCTAAATGAGTGATATGGGGTTGTCCATAAATGATGTCACATATGATTTGCTACGGGAGTGAAGATTTAAGACGTCAACTCAGACGGCTCCGCAATTTATGACGTGTCGGTCTCATGAAAGGAGGTGAACGGGAAAAATACCTCTATAATGCTTTGTTCAATCAAAATAACGATAAATAAGCAATAGTTTACGTATACCTTGCTCAAAATGAATCAATCATAAATGATGCAAGCCTGCTAGTTTGAGACATTTAGCTAAATGACCTCAACACATTATCCCCGTCAAAAAGGCTTGCCACCAAATGCC